GCGCCCGGCCAAGTCAAACTTATTAGCGTTGTCCACAGTCAGCAATGGTGATCTTCTTGCTGGTCTTGCCATTCCTAGACCCAAAGTGCTCCTCCACAATATTCATGCCTTCTTTCACCTTGCCAAAAACCACATGCTTGCCATCCAACCACTCAGTCTTGGCAGTGCAGATGAAAAACTGGGAACCATTTGTGTTGGGCCCAGCATTTGCCATGGACAAGATGCCTGGACCTGCATGCTTTAGGATGAAGTTCTCATCATCGAATTTCTCCCAGTAGATGGACTTGCCATCTGTGTCATTATGGCATGTGAAGTCATCACCCTGACACATAAACCCTGGAATAATTTTGTGAAAGCAGGAACACTTATAACCAAATCCTTTCTCTCCAGTGCCCAGAGCACGAAAGTTTTCTGCTGTCTTTGGAAACTTGTCTGCAAACAGCTGGAAGGAGACGCAGCCCAAGGGCTGGCCGTGGATGGCAATGTCGAAGAACACAGTGGGGTTGACTATGGCTGATACTGCACGGCTCCCGGCGGAGGTGGCATCTGCAAAGCCTCTGAGTTATTTTAATTGACTTATATGATGCAAATTATGTATCAAATATCTTATAATTTTGCATATGGATATTAAATCATTAAAGCATTCTATGTCAAAAAGACTGTCTTTTTTTGGCTTGTTTTGCACTTTTGTAAAAAATCATTTACCATATGTAATATGGGTTTATTTTTGAATTCTGTTATGTTCTATATTTCTATTTTGAAACTATCACTTGTTTAACATAAATTTACATTATATATTTAAATTTTGTTTTAATTTATTTAGGTCTGCTGAATAATCATAAAACTTTTAGAATAAGATTTCAAATTTTTATTTTAAAAAGCCTACTGGGGTTTTGATTGGAAGTGTAGTGAATCTATAGATTGGTTTGAAAAGAATTGTCATCTTCTGATTCTTTTGATTGATGCACGTGGTATCTTCTGATTCGTGAATATAATATGTTTCTCCATTTATTTAGGGTTTTTAAAAATTTTTCTCTCATAATGTTTAGAGATCCTTAACAACCTTTTAAAGATTCATTTATATTTTTTCATATTTTAATGTTATTTTAAACAATAATGTTGAAATTTTAATTTTCAATTGCTTTTTCTGGTATATAGAAATGGTTTTTATTTTTATAAGCTTCTGGCTTTTCATGGCTACCATTTCATGGAGATTGAAAGAGAGTTAATAGGTGTAGCTCTAAGTTAACAGATCCTGCTGTTCTTATAAGCTTAAGAAAAGTTTTTTGAATGAATGTGTTTAGTTTGTTCTGTGCTTCTAATTAATTTTGGGGGGTCCTGAAATGGCTGAGCTTGATATATTTGCCTTTTTTTGAGGAGCAAACTCACTGAACTTCTGTACATACTAAGTCCACAAACCCATGTTTATTGAGCAATTCAATTACTTGTTTTTGTAAAAAAAAAATTATTTATGTCCATACAAGTTCTGAGTTCTGGTTTCTTTTTCTTTGTTTAGGGCTTCAGATTATTTAAAGTGGATTTGTCCACACTTGTCCACTGTTGATATTCTTATTTACTAGTTGGTGCCTAGAGACATTCATCATATTGTTTCCTGAGGCAATATTCTTAAGAGGTGTCCAGGTATGGAGCTGCACTGGAAGGTAGGTAGAATGAAGATAATGTTGGACTCTGGGGCTCAAGTGATTCTCCCACCTCAACCTCCTGAGAAGCTGGAGCTATAGGCATGTGCCACCAAGCCTGGTCCAATGACCTACAATTCCTAACATGAAAATCACTTATTAGTTAAAGAAACCAAAGTGATCACCTCATAGTAACATTACAGGTTAATTTTAAAATTATAAAATCAAAAGCTCTATAAATGAGAAAATAAGTATTTAGTAATTTGAACAATTATTTATAAGACTAAAAATAAACTCAACGTTTAATTAAAAATACTGTTATCCATTACTTCAGACAGGTCTTTCTTCATCAAGTCATTCATCAGAGATGCTAATCAGAAGGTAAATGACCATATTAACTGCACAATTTATTCAAACATATATTTTAAAATAGCAAAGATAAATAGAGAAAACCTTTCTACATTTAAAAAATAATGTTTAATATATGCATTCGCTAGAGAAAATATTTGCTTATCAGCTATTTTTATGTCAAATATTAAGGACAATTTTAATCAAATTTAATAAAAGTAATTATTAATTAAAATCACATTTTGAAGGCAGCAAAATCAACATGTTTTACACGTAAAAACAAAGATTAACAGATTTCCAAACAAAATTATTTACATATATTTGCCAATTAAAATTAGAAATTCTGTTACAAAAAGGAAAGAAATGTAAGACATACAATTTTTTCATTAAATTATTGAATCGCTTGTCACCATAGTAACTAACAGACACATCAGGAGAAAATCATTCACATATATATTCTTGCAGGTGATTCTCATTCTCCCCATCTTTCTTTCAGCTGCCTCCATAGCTTATTATTAGAACTAATATTAGTCGAGAAACAGGTGTTCACCTGAGAAGCATTGCTTTCAAGCAGAATTAGCTTGTAAATTGCACATATAAATTGATCAATATGCGTTTAGTCTTTAGTCTTTAATATCAGTTTCTGCCTAATTAATTGGAATAGAAATTTCTTGTTTAGCACATCTCCCTTTATATGAGAAGGAGATTTTTCTGGTCTTCCTTTCTAATAGGTAGAGGATCATATGGGATGAGTGTGAGAAAGTTCTTAGAGGAGTATATCCAGAAGACTAAGTGTTGACAGATGCATCATCTTAACTAATGGGTATAGAATAAAGTATTTCAATATGGAGCAATTTACAATTGCCTCTCTATCATTTGATGTCATTTATTATATTGTATACTGTGTTACAAAATCATACTGAAGTCAAGAATCTTCTGAGTTAGACATTTTTTCATATTTCCTGGACGAGTGTATAGTGACTCAGAAACTTATAGTAACTTGACAACTATTTACAGCTAGTAATCAGTGGGACAAGAATGCAAAACCATGCCTGTCTATTTATAAAACTAAAGATTTTTCACTACAATGAACTGTCATGTTCTTATTACACAGAGAAGCCAGATGGCGAATTGGAAATACATCAGCCAGAGAAGCTATGGTAGAAATGGTAATTTTACTCCAATAACCATCACCTTCCTCCACATAGAAATATAAATATCACCCCACTCATTTTTAGCTTGACACACAGCTTGCCTTTACCGTTTATCAGCTTTTCATGTAGTTATGACTTGTCATGTGATTAAATTTAGGGCATGAGGAATAAGCAGAAATGACGTTTGGGATTGCTGAGACTACTTCTTACAGAGGATAATACTTTCCCGATGCTTTCTATTTTTTCTTCTTCCTGGTATTTCATATACAGATATGGAGGAAAACCAGTTTTGATCATGCAGGACTGCAACCAAAGAAATAGTATTTCCACAATATATCAGGTAACCAGGTGCCTGAATGTCCTTGTGATGTGAAGCAACCTGACAATTTTGGATTGTTCTCCTCTGATCTCCCCAGAGTGAGAGAAATTACTTTCTTTCTCATTTTAGTTCTATATTTGGGGGTCTCCTTGCTAAAGAGCCTTGAGTTGTAACTTAAATAGTGGAGATATTCATTCACAGCCTGTTGTAGTTTGGTCTTTCCTAGTTATCTGATACCCAGAAGAATTTTATTCACATTATAAATTTTTAAGAAATGATTACCTATTTAACTTATTCTTATATCCTGTTTTATAATACATGACGAAAATACATGAATAATATAATTGGTAGGGTTACCCTCATGGTCATCAAAATACAAAAGATAAAGGAAGCAGCTGTAACTGAAAGCATATCCAGAGTTTCATAACAACCAAAGCTGAAAGTTTAACCATACAGATTCCTTAGCTTTCGTCATTGAATAAAAAAAAAAAAAAACATGCTAGTGCATCAGAAACATCAAGCTGTTTCCTAGCTATGAATTCTAAAAAAAATCACACAGTTGTCTCTGGCAAAACAATATTGTTTATTCCAGAAACAATTGAAAATAGAATTGATGATTCCCTAAATGGCATTTTTTTTAAATGCAGGGCTATTGGGTGTATGAGCATTACCATTTTTGACTGGAGGACAAAATACTAAGATGCACTTGGGAAAAGCCATTTGTACAGTGTCCTCAAAAATTTTGCACTCTATAGAGGATAGACCTATTTTCATGTGTATGTAGTCTTATTAAACCAAATTAATTAGCTTCTTGCAATATATTACTTCTGCTACACATGTAAATTGTTTTATAATTACATTCCCTACTCATCTTAATTGTTGGAAAATCAGGTATGTTTATAGATGTAAATATATGGAAAAGTAGGTAACGTTACAGTTTAAATACAGCACATTCATTAAAGAAATCATGAGATAAGCAAGTATATTACTATAGATTACTTAATGTTAAGATACATATTTTAACAAGTATGTACTTCAAAAAAATTTTATGTGAGCAGTAAGGTGAAAGCTGGTGGTGATACAGGACAGGTGAGCCCCACTTTGGGCTTAGCCTGCAAGGGTTCTTGGCTTTGGCCAGAAAAGAATTCAAGGATGAGCTGGTGGTAGAGTAGAAGACAACAGCTTTGTTGAGGTGGCAGTGTTACAGCTCCAGGACTGATCTTATAGAGCAGGGCTATCCCATGGGCAGTGTGCTGAAAGTAGCAGCTCAGGGCAGTTTTGCAGTCACATTTTTACCTCCTTTTAATTATATGTAGATTAAGGGGGATAAATGCAGAAATTAATAGGGAAGGGGTAGTAACTTCTGGGTCATCAGGTCATTGCTATCAAAAGAGGCAGTAATGCCTGTGTGTTGCCATGGCAATGGTAAACTGACATGACACGCTGGTGGGCATGTCTTATGGAAAGCTGCTTCTGCCCAGTCCCTGTTTTAGTTAGTCCTCAACTTGGTCCAATGTCAGAGCCTTGCCTCCAGAGTAATGTCCCACCTCCTACCTCAGTGGTAATTAGAATTAAACATAACATTCATTATCTTTAGTCAAGAAGAACCAACTGACTGCATAATTCAAGCAAATGCCTCTTGTAATTTTTAGCCTCTATGTTTCTTCTAGAATAATTCTGTTTTATTTTAGTTTGACAATAATGAAGAAATGGTGGATTAGAATAACAATGATCTGCCTTCTTTCAAGCACTATTATTAGAATGTCCACAAATTGGTAACTGTGGTCAAGTTCTCACTTTGGTATTTTCATAACTTTCTTAAAAGTATATAAAAATTATTAAACTGAGTGAGGCCTGTTTTTCATCTAATGCATCTTCGCATCTCTTTCATACTAATGGATGTATTTGGCAACAAGTACATTCTCTTCTAAAATTCACCAATTATCACTCAAATAAGCTATTAAAATACCTTTTTAATTTTCACTAATAAGTATGGTGTTAACATTAATAAGTAATTTATTCTATACTAAATTTGTCTTTGCTTTTGTTTGTGCAGAAACTCACTTTACATAATTTTCAATAAAATTCTGTTTCTA